TCCTCCTCCTCTCACCGACTCTGTCCCTGCACCATTCCTGTCCCCTGCAGCTCCCTCTCGGCCCCGGCCCTGTTTCTGTAGCCTCTGCCCTTGTCTCCTGTTAAGGTGCCAGCCCCGGTGGGGCGGAAGCGGGAGCGCAAGCAGGTCAGCGACGAGGACACCTCGCTGTCGGAGAGCGACGCCCCCCGAAAGCCTGAGGATGAAGAGGAGGACGAGACCACGGCCATGAGCATCAATGAGGAGATGCAGAGGATGCTGAACCAGCTGTGAGCGATGCTGCCGCCCCTGCGGGGCAGGGCTCTGGCACCAGGCTCCCCGCCCATGCCTGGGGAGGGGGGCAGGGGGTGGGCTGCAGCTCCCCGTCCTGGGGGAGGGTGAGGTGGGAGGTGCTGCAGGGTGTGTACACCCTGTGCTCTGTGGAGAGACCCGAGCCCACCTGTGCCAGGGGTGGGAGCTAGTCCAGCTCCTCCCCTCTTGCTCCCCTTCCTGCCTGAATTTGCTGGGGCTCCTGACCATCAAGCCAGTCCCTTCCCCCTCAGCTGTTGGATTTGGGCACACGAGCTCACCCTGGCCAGACCTCCAAGAGCTGCAGCCCTGCCTATGAGTCAGGGCAAGGTTTTTGGCACCAGTGCAGCACCTTGCCCGCTTTGCCTGCTGAGGTTTTCCTGCTGGGTGCTGACATGCTATTCTCTTGCCCCCAGGAGGGAATATGACTTTGAGGATGACTGTGACAGCCTCACGTGGGAGGAGACAGAAGAAACGCTGCTCCTTTGGGAGGACTTCTCTGGATACGCCATTGCAGCTGCAGAGGTGCAGGGGGAGGTAACAGTGGTGTCAGGTCCCCTTGGGGATGCAGCCCTGGGTTGCAACACCTGGTCCTGCCTGAGCCTGGGAAGATGCTCCCTCAAAGATCAGAGTTTAGCCACACTGTCCTTTTTAGGCCTGCACAGATGCTTCCCCATCTTCTCTGTGTGACTAAGGTACTGCATCCTTGTGAAGGTCTCCTTGTTAGACAGACTGGGGACCTGTAGCATGAATGTTGTGCTGAGCACATGGCCCACACACATGGGGAGAGCCACAGCCCTCCCAGAAGAGAAGACATTCTCTGGCTGGGCTGGCCTCTGGTGGTCCTTTGCTCAGGGCCTCCAGCACCCTTGCCCACTGTGCAACAACACTGTCCAAGCGGAGGCCTCAGTGTCTGGCCAGAGCCCTTGCTGTCCCACATCTTTGGCCCTCAGCAGTCCCCTGGGGACCTGTTGCACTTGGGCTTGGTCTGTGCTCTCCAAAGCTTCTGTGCATTGCTGGGCTTGATCTGGGCTGATGTGCTTCACTGCCCAGTATGGCGAGTCCTGGGTCTCTGTACCCCATGTTGGCAGGACTGCCTTGTGCCTTTATTTCTTCCTCTTTTCCTAGTGCTGCCAGTTCTTCCTCTGATTTCTCTTTCTTTTGCCTTTCGTTCCTCATGTTGGATGCCTCCCTGCCTCTAAACGTGCTGTGTGCTCTCCCCAACAGCAGGATGACAGCCTGGAGAAGGTGATCAAGGACACAGAGTCGCTGTTCAAGAGCCGTGAGAAGGAGTACCAGGAAACCATCGACCAAATAGAGGTAGGAGGGGGAAACGGGGAGGACATGGCACAGAAGGGGGTGAAACTGGGGGAGTGGGCCCTCAGGGAAGGGAGGCACCATGCTGGAGCAGGTCATGGGGGAGACAGCCTCAGGTCTGGCCATGGCCCCTGTCCTGCCCCGCGGTGTGGGCTCACCTCTGCATCATTTCCCCTGTGCAGCTGGAGCTGGCCACGGCCAAGAACGACATGAACCGGCACCTGCACGAGTACATGGAAATGTGCAGCATGAAGCGAGGCCTGGACGTGCAGATGGAAACTTGCCGGCGGCTCATCACCCAGTCT